AAAAGTCTGACATTATTTCACAGGTCAAGAATTTTGGCAATTCTTGTTGAAATAACACGAACATTTTCACAGAATGTATAGAAACAGATCAAGATTTTATATTTCATGTTTTATTTTCATTCTGTTTTCATGCTGAGCCGCTCAGTCCCAAAGAGAAGTGAGTTTGTGTCTTGGAATCTGCTCGCACACAGTCACCCAAGACTGTGAAGCAAGACTTAAATGCAAAATTTGGAAAAACTTCACCAACTGGCAAACAAATTTGGACCAAAAATTTAAAGAGGAAGGCTAAAGGATCTTAGCCAGGGTTGCCGCCACCTAGTGCCTCCACTCAATTTCGTTTCTGTCCAGCAACTAGGTCAGGAATCGGAATACACTAGACGGTTTGCGAGAACCTTGGAAGTTGTAGACCGCACACCGACCAATCAGTGAAGAGCTGTGAAGCCATGACTGGGTCCTTTTTTTTTTTTTTTTTTTTTTTTTGGTACAGCACAACAGTAAACAAAGCGTCGAGATGGATGTAGACGAAGCCATACATTCTGTGTTGGCAACGATTCCTGAGATCGAGGATTTAAAGCCAGAACAAAGAGAATGTTTGGTGAATTTTATCAAGGGGAAAGACGTTATTGTCCTTCTTCGGGAAAAGGTTAATATACCAGCTAGCCCTGTCAGCAGCGCAGGACAAACATCACGACCAAATAGCAGCAACTGGTTAAATAAAAAAAGCACCTGCCTACCGACGAGTGAACAAATCCTAACGCTGCTAGGTCAGACGGTTTCCACGAAATGAAAGCAGCTGATGAATCAGGCTAGGAATTTCTCCCTTGTAGGACAAAAAATGTTCTCTTCGATTTTGTGTTTAAATGAAGAATGGAAAAAACGGATAACGGCCGTTTCCCGTTTACGTGACTTCCGTGACTGCGATGCCGAACTTTTGCACCGTGTACGGACTGAACCAGAACTGATCCAGGTACGAGACCAGACCGGGACTAGAGTGGTACCAGAGCGGGACCAGAGCGGGACCAGAGCAGGACTGGGGCGGACTCCAAGCTTTGACTCTGAGCCTCCGCGGGGTCCAAGCCTCAGCTTCGCGCTCCAGTCCTGCCGTGAGCTCTGAGCCTCCGGTCTGGTCCCGGTCTGGTCCTGGTCTTGTCTCGGTCTCGGTCTCAGGCCCGCTCTGGTCCCGGCCTGGTCCCAGTCTCAGTAGCGCTCCGGTCCCAGTCTGATCCCGGACCTGGTCCATTTGAACCAAAAGCTCTTAGTTCGGTTCGTTTTCGTTGGTGTGAAAGCGTCAGTTGGATGCTTTGCACCACCTCGCAACCAGCCGCGGTTCTGGAGCAGCCCGTCCGGACCTGTAGTCCACACACGCATTCTCACTTTCCCCGCACGGAACCAGCGCAGAGACGATGACACGGAACCGCTCGGACCACTGTTCTCGGTCTCAGTTCCGCTCTGATTCCGCTGAAAAAACGAATCATTATCCGTTTTTTCATTTTGGTTTTGGAGACAAATAACGAAGAAAACTGTTGTTTTTTCGTTTTCTTATTTTTGGTTTTATATTGAAAAACGAATGAACGAATGATACACGGATTTTCCCAGTCCACTTTTGTCAACTATGAAACTCACCTTTTCCTGATTCTTTATTTCAGCTGAAAAGTAAACCTTTTTTTTAAATGGAGGTTATGGTTGTTTCCCGGTGTAATTGCGCCTCTGTATCTCTCGGTGTGGCCCAGTTTCCAGCGGGTCCTCACCCTGGCGCCCCGGTGGATGCCCTGGTGTGGTGCCCTGGTGTTGGAGGCCAGCGTCAGAGTTGGGATGTTTTTATGCTTCACGCTCCAGTGCCTCTCTACAAAGGCTTGGCCCCATAACCCATAAACCCTTTAATCCGCCCTGTAAACATACAACGGATACCCACTTTTACCAAAATGCCTACGCACTACTGAGCCGAGACTGTCACCCACACTGCCACCGCTCCTCTGTGTTATCTAATTATGGGTAAATTAAATATGGAAAGGAACATTGCATTCGGAGACGATATTATTAGATTGAAACCAAAAACATCTTAGAGTCTATACTTAGGCCTGTTGTAAAAGAAAATTTTGAAGAAAGAGATGTTGGTACGGAGAAATATCGCGATAAATTACAATATTAAAACTACTTCATCCCACAAATTAGAGGTAAATTGTGTAAATTTTCTGATGGAGCGTCCTTGGAGATGTTAATGCTTCGTCTGAAATGTTTTAATTTAATGTATTAAACCTTTCTGTCTTCACTGAGACCAAACCAGACCAAGTTACAGGTCAGATCTGTGGAGAGGCGACCCCGCTCAGCATTTTTAAGCTATAAAACCACCTCTAATTAAATAAATGTAAGGTAGAGCTGTTTAATGCCATACTGCGGAACATTCCAGACAGAAGCAGGTGACGGACCTTCAACCAGAAACGTAACACAGTGCACCTTTAAGACTGTCAAGGCCGTTAACAAATTTTGAAGAAAAATACAATATGTTGCTACAGACAAATATTGCGATAAATGACATTACTAAAACTGCTTTATGCCGCAGTTAAAGATGAAAATAAAGCAAGATAATCCCAGCAAACCCTTTTTAAATAGACAGTATCCTTAAAAGTCCTGAGCCACAACAAATAAACAGCAGAATGAACCAATAATAAGACGTAAGAGTGACTTATTCTATCTTCTACAGCTCAAATCTTTTTGTATAACAACTAAAATAACAAAAGTATCTCTATATCTACTATACAAGAACATTCTAGACACCAGATGGCGGACCCACCACCAGAAAAGTTACTAAGTGCACCTTCCACAGTATGACATTAAGCAGGGATTTTAGAGCTATAAAACTGAATAAATGAAGAATAAAGTAGATCACCTTATTGATTCAAGCACAGGTGGTTTTATAGCTCAAAAATACAAATAAAAACTGACTCTGACTGAGAGTGGGGCCGCTTCTCCGCAGATCTGACCTCTAACTTGGTCTTGGTTGGTGTCCGTGAAGCTAGAAAGGCTTAATACCATACTGTGGAACATTCCAGACAAAGCAATAACCTCTCCACGAAAAAAACAAAACATCTGACAAACTCTGCAGCAAAAAAAGTTACACAATCCAATTTCTAAAAAAAAAACACCCTTATATCATATGTAGTATATCAAGTACCACCATATCATGATAATATCATATCATGAGCTATGTATCGAGTATCATATCAAATTACGAGAGACTCCCGCAATTCCCAGCCCAAATGCCCACCAGTCTAACCCGCTATCACATTCTGCCATAGCACCATATGCAGAAACCCTCACAGAGTATCATGTGTATTTTATATAAAGTATCGCCATATCATGATAGTATCGTATTGCAAGCCATGCATCGAGTACCATATTGAATTACAAGGAACCCCTGCGATTCCAAGTTCAAATGCCCACCAGTCTAACCTGCTATCACATTCTACCCTAGCACTGTATACAGAAATCCTCACTTACATTCTAAAATTCCATCTTCAGCACAGAGTATCAAGTGTATTTTAGATAAAGTATCGCCGTATCGTGATAATATCGTATCGCGAGCCATGCATTAAGTATCGTATCGAATCACGAGGGACCCCCGTGATTCCCAGCCCGAACGCCCGCCGGTCTAACCCGCTATCACATTCTACCATAGCAGCGCATGCAGAGACCCTCGCTTACGTTCTAAAATTTCATCTTCAGCACAGAATATGATGTGTATTTTATATAAAGTATCGCAATATCGTGATAATATCGTATCGCAAGTCATGTAGTAAGTATCGTATTGAATCACGAGGGACCCCCGCGATTCCCAGCCTGAATGCCCGCCGGTCTAACCTGCTATCACATTCTACCATAGCACCATATGCACAAACCCTCACAGAGTATCATGTGTATTTTATATAAAGTATCGCTGTATCGTGATAATATCAAATCATGAGTCATGTATCGAGTATCTTATCAAATCATGAGGGACCCCAGAGATTCCCAGCATGAATGCCCATCAGTCTAACCTGCTATCACATTCTACCATAGCACCATATGCAGAAACCCTCACAGAGTATCATGTGTATTTTCTATAAAGTATCACCATATCGTGATAATATCTTATCGCGAGTCATGTATTAAGTATCGTATCGAACCACGAGGGACCCCCGTGATTCCCAGCCCGAACGCCCGCCGGTCTAACCCGCTATCACATTCTACCACAGCAGCGCATGCAGAGTACCTCGCTTACGTTCTAAGATTTCAACTTCAGCACCACTGTAAATCCTGCACACACGGCCCGTCTCAGCCCCGGTGCGCGATCCTCGTTCAGAATGCCAAACCGGAGCATGCCAGCCAGCGGATGCCAACACACAGGAATAGCTTTGACAGGTATAGCATCTGATGTCACATTTGGAGATGAGCGCGTGAACAAGAAGTGCACTCTGCCTTAAAGGGTTCCTCATCACAAACAGACCTGGAGTTGTGTTTTTTTTTTTAGTTTCATTCATACGTTTAACTCAAAAACGCTGCGAGCTCTTCCACGTTTGCGTCTCAGGTAGTAACGCAGGAAGTTCTCCACTGTGTTTTTACACTTTCGACATCTTCTCTACAACCATTTGGATCATTTTAGACCTGGAATCGTCCAGTTTTTACAGATTTAAAGGTGCAAGGTAGCTGTTAACTTGTAAACTTCGCCGAACATTTTGAGCTTTGGAGACGTAAATAGACTAATTCTAAAGGATTACTCAACTATAAGTGACTAAAACAAAGCAAAACACAACTCCAGGTATGTTTTCGACGAGGTGACAACATCAAAACAAGACGAAAATCTCACGAAACTCTAACCATTTTGTGCAATGCGAGAAAGTTAAAAGAATCTAAGCAACAGACTTCTCCAAACCTATTGACAACCACTTTCCAGCCACTATCAGATACAGACTTCACATGACACAGCTCCATCAATACCAAAAAGAAGTAGAAATCGGACTTACCCAGAAGATGAGGTTGAAGACAAACATCAGGTACTTCAGGCAGCACAGGAACCCTCTGGCCATGTTGCACTTCTTAAATTCTAGAAGGAACACAAACGATAAATCCAGGTAAAACACCACGTACTTGCTTCCTTTCGGCGAGCTGTATTTATTGTTCGTTTTGTCCGCTCCAACGTTATCGGCACTAGCACCCGCCTGGCCCGGTTGCGTCGGTGTGGCTTTGCGCGGTCCGGTGGAGCCGTAGAAAGCGCCGGCTGTGAATCCCCGGCCACCGAACGGGCGGCCAGAGGTGGAAGCTTGTGGGAAATCTGAATCTCGACTGTCTATGGAAGGGCTCCTGTGGATAGCTGACTCCTCACTGCTAGACTTCTCCATGCTCTGAGGCTGGCGCACGCTCTAACATAGTCTCGCAGATGACCGGCGTGCACAATCGCTCCCCCCTGGACACCGGTGTTCCAGCTCAACTCAAAAATAAATCCCAATGAATGGACGCTGGAAGTGGAACTCGCGCAACTCTGCGAGGTGTACGTCTCCGGCTGAGGTCTTTAACTCCAATAAAATCGATACAGTTTGGTCCCAAGAGAAGCATGCCCTCCTTCGCAGACCCAGATGGTTTTATATTCCAATTCTAGAAGCGATAACCCTTTCGTAAGTCAACGCTGAGCTGGTAACTTTTCTTTCTCTTATCACTCCCTTCCTTCCTCTCTTCGGTTAATTGTGATGCTCAACCTATAATCCCACACGCGTCTTGTCCGGAAACACTCCGACTCCTCCGCTCCTCTCTCTTTCTTTCGTTCTTTCTTTTGCTCTTTCCCTTTCCCTCTCTCAGCTCAGCTCTCTTTTGACAGCAGCGCTCCGGCTCATGTGCTGCGCTAAGGCAGTCGCAGCCAACCAACGGGCATTCCCTATCACACAGCGAGCTCTCATCCCCCGGCAGCTCTACCCCTCTCTCTCCCTCTCTCTCCTCTCCTCTCTCGCTCCTCGCGGCCCCTCCCCCTCTCCGCTCTCAGCCAATAGAAACCGCCGCTGACCCCCCCACCCCCGCCGTTCCTCCTTTCCCTATCCCCTCCCTCTTCTCCTTTCTGTGCTGCCGGTGCCTTTCCGCAAAGCCATCAGCCTGTTTGCTTTGACTATTCACGTTCGGGACGCCTCTCTCTTTCCCTCCCTCTTTCTCTCCCTCTCTCTCCGCTGTCATAACGAGTGACAGGGTAAATATGATTTCACGAGAACAACAAATAAAAATAAACAAGTTGCCGCTACATCTGCAGAAAAGCAACACAATGTGGTAACAAACTGACATTTTTCATCAGCGTTTTTTTTTTTTTCTTTTAGACTCGCCGGTTCAGTCTTAATCACAGCATTGCTATAAATAACACCGAGGCTTCCTTCTACTTCTTCTTCTTCTTCTTCAAAGCAAGACACGGAATAGTAATGATTGTGATGTGGGTGGTCACGGCGGGGCGGCCATATTGTTATTTTAAATCTACATCAGCGGACGGGCTCCATCCATGTAAGGGGAAACCAATTAACTCCGGCGAAGGAATTATGGCACCTTCTGAAGCATGAAACTGGAGAGAGGCTCGGAGACGAGGAATCCCACTGACCCGGCGCCGGGGTCAAATACTTACATGTGCTAATGATTTCAAGTGTACAAAAACCACAAAGTTTACACGCGGATTAACAATTTTACACGTTTTGGTCGTTTTGCTGCGGCGCTGGCGGATATAGATACTTTGCTGTCACACTGGGGGAGTTCTACATGCGTCTCTATTGGAGGAAAGTTCAGCAGTTACTTCATGGAGAAGAGCCATGGGTCACCGGGTTGGGTAACCGGGGGCACCTGATGGGTACGGGCAAACAGTTGCTGAAACGGGCGGGTTTTAACGTTCTGGAATTTTACGGGCAGGTATGCAGACGGGGAGTGATTACAAACGTAGAGTCAGGACTAAACCAGGTCTAAACCAGGACTAAACCAGGTCTAAATCAGGACTAAACCAGGTCTAAACCAGGTCTGAAGTAAGACTAATTTTGGATTTAAGACAGAGAACCCTGAGCCCACGGAACAGGGGTCCGCAAAGCACTATCAGGTGACGGCTGCACTTAGCATTCGTTTCACAATTTTATTATTACCAACTAGGGATGTGACAATAACTGAAATGTAGTGATATTGTATCGCCAAAAGTCTCACAATAATATCGTTGACCATCATCACAATATATCAAATTCTTTTCTTTTCTTAAATGCGTAGTGCACAGTAGCAAAATCGAGGTCCATGTACCATTCGTCCTTTTAAATTTCAATTAATAACAAAAAACAATAAAATGGGAAAACCGTTTACTATTTCATTATTGCCGTTTTAGTGTAAAAAAAAACAAACAAACATATATATATTATATTTTATTATTATTATTTCAAATAACACCAATCAAAAAGCTGTCTCAGTGTCTATTTCAGTATTTCAATTTTGATATTTTATTCACTCTGGTTTATTTATCCCTGGCACCAAGACAAATTTTTTTTTTTTGGTTGGTTGTTTTTTGTTTTGTTTTTTTGGTGTTATTTGAAATAAATTTTAAATTAAATATTGGAAAAGGTGGTCGAAATCTGTTTTTTTTTGTTTTTTTTTTTTTTTTCTACACTAAAACGGAATAATTAAATTACCTGTTTTCCCATTTTTTCATTCTTAATTGAAATTCAAAAGAACAAATGGTACACGGACCCATCGGGAACTACATATCCCATGATTCATTTCAGCGCATGAAGTGTGTTTTGTGTTTTTTATTTGAATTCTTGGGATTATGACGGTAATAATTCATGCCAAATTCTTGTCAGGGTATTTTAAAAGTAAAGAAGTGTCCTATCTACAATTATATCACCCTCTCAAAAATATCGCAATAAATATCGTACCGAGAGATTTGGATATTTGGATATCTATTACAAACCACCCTAAACCAGAGATGTCCCATTTTTGTATTTGGAAAATCTGGTCACCATAATTTAAACAACACATTTTCAGGAGGAATGTTGATGGTTTTGTGTCAGAGTTTGATTTTCAGCCAAAAAAAAAGTGAGAGTGAGAAAGTGAAAAACACTGTCGCTTCTCTGTTCCATGTGAGAGACGTGTTGAACAGCCCAAATCTGCTCAGATCAGACCTGTTGTAGTTTCAGCAAAATCTGTTCTGTCTCATCAGAACATGTTGAAATTAAGTTCAAATTAACTTGCGTATCAGAGTTTCAGACAGATTAGTGCTTACAGTTAGCTTCACAACCCCAGGAAATATCGACAAAGTATCAATTCAGTAAAGTCGAATGATTATTGTAGTGCATAAAGTGTCCATCAGGGGGCGCTTCCTAAGGTTTAATCTTGCTCTTAACAGACTAGAACAACTGGAATAACAAAGGAAAATGGATTGATTTTCAAGCTCCAATAATTTTTCTATATAAATATGTCATTGCTCTGTCCGGAATGTTCCGCAGTATGACTTTTAACAGCTCTTTTTCACATTTATTCAATTACAGGTGGGTTTATAGCTCAAAAATACCTTTAAAACAGACATTCTGACTGTGAGCGGGGTCGCCTCTCCACAGATCTGACCTGTAACTTGGTCTTGTTTGGTCTCCATGAAGACAGAAAAGTTTAATGCCATAGTGTGAAACATTCCAGACAAAGAAAAACAACTGATGGACCCTTCACCAGAAAAGTTACACAATGCGCCTTTAAGTGAACTAAACACATGTATACTTCTTGTGTTTATTAATCTGCTTGAAAAAAAAAAAAAAATAAATAAATATATATATATATATATATATATATATATATATATATATATATATATATATATATATATATATATATATAATAACATAAATAAACATAAATAATAATTTAAAAAAATAAATTAATTAATTAATAAAAATAAATTAATAAAAATAAAATAAAAAACAAAACAAACTAAACTAACTTAACTTGAACTTTACTTCACTTTACTTTACTTTACTTTAACTTTACTTTAACTTTACTTTACTTTAATTTTATTTTATTTGACAGTAGCTCAGTTAGTAGAGCGTTTATTCACTGATCAGAAGGTTGACGGTTCGAATCCCACTCTCGATATAAACATCACTGGTTGACCCACAGTTTGGCTAATTTAATCCCAACCCCCACAGATGAATGCTCTTGTTGTGTCCTTGGGCAAGACACTTAACCCACGCACCCCACCCCCAGTGTCTATGTACACTGGTGTGTGAATGGGTGAATGTTTCCTTGTTGTAAAGCGCTTTGAGTGATTTAAAGGTGGAAAAGCGCTGTATAAAAATTTGACCATTTACCATTTTGATTAAATTAAGTTAAATTCAAGTAGAATATAGAAAAGGACAAAAAATGAAATGAAAATAAATATATAAATGGAAAGACTTGGCTGACGTGGAGAAAGCAGAGTGAGGTTTAGCACTATATCTGCTCCTGCTACAGAAGACATCGTTCTGTGCAGTGATACCGTGCGGTCAGCGGAGGGAGTGGAGATGTCTGAGCCCACCGACAGATGGAAGAAGACTTTCCACTCCCAGTCTTAAGGTAAATCCAGTAAGACCCAGTTGACAAAGACAAGATAATCCAGCCTCTTGTATTTCACTGGAAAACAGAAAACAGTGGGTATGGTCTGCGTACAACATTTACACTGATGTTACCATACAGATGCACCTGGTAAACTAAAGTAGGAACAGCAGGAACCAAAATTATGTTACATTTTTCATAGCGGCTTCTGTTTGTAGACGTGCTTGAGGCTGTTGAAGCTGTGTGAGCGAAAATACACGCAACTTGTAAAACTTGTTGTATCAGGAAATGGTTAAGATGCAGTAATTTCTATTTACATTTTATAAAGAAAAGCAAAATTATATAAACCCTAAATACATTTCAAAGATGCTTTTAAACTTTGCCAACAAATGTGCTGCTTTAAAGGGTCCTGTATTATGCACAACTGACTCTTGTGAATGTTGCTACTTCTTCAGAAACAGACCTGGAGTTGTGTTTTGTTTCATTTACGCGTTTAAGTAACACTTTATTATTAGTCTGTCTAGATCAGGGGTTGGCAACTTGTGGCTCTTTTACCCTTCTGTTGAGGCTCCCTGTGACTTTGGAAAATAAATAATGAGTATTTAATTACAATGTATTTTTATTTCCGTTTGTTCGGTTTTCAAGTGTAATTCTAAATTTGTAGATAATGGTAATCTTGTAACATTCAAATAAAATGTTTTTAGTATTTTTGTCGCTCAAAATGTGCGTCAAAGCCACTGATGTGTGACACCCGGCACAGATCTGGTGACCCAGATTTACCTACACCAACAGCAGGATTTATGGAGCTTTTCGCCCCATGGAA